ACCAAAAGAAAAAGAAAATGTGAGCAGGAGGAAGATTCCCTCATCTGTAAAGTGAAGGGAGTCACCCAAATGATGTCCAATGTTCCTTCCAGCTCTAACAGGCTGCGAGTCTTTGAGTTAGGTCAAAAGATCACACCAGGATTGTCCTATCTAAGAGCACTAGTCAACAGACACAATTACTGAGTTTGATTCAATAATTATAGCTGACATTTATATAAAAATGCATAGTACACAAAGAATGTCACATTCTCTATCACATTTAATCCTTACAACAATCCTATTAGATATTAGATATTTTGCAGATGCAGGAACTGAGGTGCAGAGAGGCAACTTGGTGCCACGGAAAAAGGAAAGTGTGCTGCATAGAGAGCTTGAGTTCAAATCCCGACTCTCGCTTATTAGCAGTGTGACTTTGGGAACATCACTTAGACTCTCTGTCCTCAGTTTCCTCACCTGTAAAATAAGGAGGAAAGGTACTAGATGGCTTTCAAAGTCCCTTCTAGCATTAACACTATGATACTATTAGATAATGACCCAAGATACCTGGATTCTAGTCTTACTTCTACCACTGATTAGCTATGTGACTCTGGACAAGACATCTAACCTCTTGGGCCTTAGTTGACAACTATAAAATGAATAAATATTTGTTGAATCAATTTTACTTGAATTGAACTGAATTGAATTAAATTCTAATTTAAAAATTCTAAATTAAATTCTAATCTATGAAAAAGGGAGTGATGGCTAAAGACAATCATGAGGAAGAATCCAGAGATATGTGGAAGAAAGAGAACAAGAGAAAACAATAGACATATATTCATGGGTCCATAGCTCAACAAAGAAAAAACAATAGGGCCTGAGAAATGACTTGAACTGATTTTTCTTATTTCTGGGAAACAAAGCATTTTCCTATGATAATTTAATTAATCTTATCCTGTGAAATCTCTGCAGTGCCATGGAAGGGGCACTGAATTTTATATCAAAGAACTTAGATTTGAATACTTCCTCTGTTCCTTACTGCTGGAATAACATTGGGTAATTCTCTTCACTTCTCTCAGTTTCCTCTCCAGTAAAGTAATGAACACACACTAAAACAGATTTAAAGCTGGAACATTAAAGCTGGACCTTAGGGGTCATTAAGTTCAACCCCTTCATTTTACATTGAGGAAACTGAGGCCCAGAAAGGGTAAGTTATTGGCCCAGTGTCACAGAGCTATTGAGTTTCAGGTGGGATTTGAATCTAGGTCCTTCTTAACTTTAAGATTCCAGGAGATTACAAAATTGTCTCTATTGTATAGATAGGGATATTGAGACCCCTGAGAATTTTAGAGACTCAGTGATAGACTGTACCAGTCTACAGTTCTCTGAACTCTGTATTTTTTAAGGTTGCATTGCTTTTTTGCTCCTATTTATATATTATATATAGTAGAGCAGCAAAAAGCTATCAGCATTGAAAAGGACTGGGAAACTTGATAGTCTCATCCAATTCTAAGGGACTATTATGGAATGAACAGGTGCTTTAGTAGTACCCAGACTCAATCTTATGCAATGGGCTTAGTTAGACCCAGACAGGATAGATATTCCCCTTATAAAAGGGATAATCACATGGAAAGGGAGGGATGTCATCATAATATGGACTTTTAGTTCCCTTAATACATAACTACACAAAGCCTGTTATCGGTGATCATTGTGGAGGGAGTACAGATTGGCTGAGTCAAAGCTAGCAGTTAAGCTAGTGAGTTGAGGCAGCCATTAAGCATTAACACTTGTCCCTTTTGGTCTTATTCTCATCATTCTCATGTAGTTTCTAATTCCAGTTCTAGCTTTGAATCAACCCATCAGGAATTCTTGCAATCTGTCTTCTCCAAAGACTTCAAGAAGTCCGTGGGACTTGGCCAAGAGTATCCCTAGGAATGGCTCAGAAGGAATATTTATCAAATTGCCCCAAACTTAATTCCTCAGTCACTGCAAATTCCTCAATCTGACTGAGTCAGTAGATCTCAAAATCCATTCTCTCAGAGGGTTGGGTTTCCTAGGCTTCCTTTCAACTCATGCGTATCCATACCCCTTAACCTCTGTCCACCCCTACAACCGCTTACATTCTAGCACAATTTTCCATGTCTTTGAGCTGCCTACATTTCCCCCTCTTCATATTTCAAATAATTGCTAGTGCCTCCTCCTATTGCTTCACAATAGTGTATCTCTTTCCCTTATTCCAAATTTAACACACTGTGCATTCCTGAAGACCCACCACCTAAAGTCCTGAGAAACTTGAGTGTCTTCACACACCACTTCAGAACTAATGGGAACTCAAATTTTAAGAGAGTCATTGAAATTGATTTGACTCACCCAAGGGTCTGGGAATGTTAAATTAGGTTTTTATCTATCTACCTACCTCTTTATCACCTGGCTATTTCATATATATTTTATATATGAATGCATGTATATGTATATATATATATATATATATATATATATATATATGCACACACACACACACACACACACACACACACACATATATATATATATATATATATATGCACTATATATTCAAAATTCCTTCTAGGCACAGAATAATAGATCAATTTAGGTGTATGTATGTATATATATATATATATATATATATATATATATATGTGTGTGTGTGTGTGTGTGTATAAATGTGACTGTGTGCATATATATGTACATAAGCATGTATATGACTTGCATGCACATATGATTGCTTTTTCTTTTAATTTGAGTGGTTTAAGGAACCCCTGGTGAAGAAACTCTCTCTAAACCAAAACAGTCATCAATTATTCTGAAATTTCAATCTTAGAGAGTTGCCTGGGGGCACTAAGACTTTAACTGATTTACCCATTTTTAAACACAGCCAGATCCTTTAGACTCCAAGGCCAACTCTCTATCCACTTCTCCAGGCTTTTTCTTTCTCTTTTTTCTTGCTCTTGCTCTTGCTCTTGCTCGCTCTCTCTCTCTCTCTCTCTCTCTCTCTCTCTCTCTCTCTCTCTCCATACACACACACACACACACACAGAGTAAATGATCCTTCTCTCTGACTCTTCCCTTTGGCTTTCTCCTCCAGGAAACTTCTGGATCCAGGCTTCCCTTGATACCATCTAAGCATTCGATATAATCATACTTAAAAGCATAATGAATCCTTTGCCTCATATACCCAGTAGTCCCTCTCTGTGTCAATAAAGCCACATCATTTTGCCCACCTATTGATTGCTGGCCAGGTCCTGGAGAAGCTGTGGGCTGTGGGGAAGGCAGAGAGTAGACACCCAGCCTTCCCCATCTACAGCAGAGGGCTGTTTTTCCCTACCACTTCATATATAGTAACAATGAACTAACTAGTATCATTGGTTGTTGCCAAAAAAGTTTATTCTTTGGGGACATGGAGCCAGTCAGGTAGGGACTAGTTACCCCAAGGAATAATTTAACAAGGTGATGTGTGCTTTCCAGAGCACATTCAGAGAGTTAGCTTCATGGATCCTGAATACGCAAACACCATGACAGTTACAAAAAAAAAAAAATGAAGCAATTGGGTGCTCTCTGGTCTTGGGATGGGAGAGATACTTAAGATATTAATGTTGTAACACCAGCTTCCTGCCCTGTTTTCCATACTCTAAGGGATGTTTTTCTCAGCTTGACTCTGTCGTGCTCCTTTCACCAGCCTCTAAGCAGTATCTTAAAGAAGTCCTAGAGTCAAGAATTGATTTGAGTGTGCCTTTTGTGCTACCTGTCCAGGGCTCCGGAATTTCTAATTATGTCTATCCAGACCAAGTGGTTTAGATCTGTCTTTATTTTTGTGAAAAGTATTATGTATAGTTTTGTTTATAAAATCCCTGGGTTTATCTTGGCAGGCAGATTTTCATGAATTTTATATTGTCTGCAATGATTTAAATGAAATTTTTCCTTCTATCTCTCACTGCTGGGTTTTGTTACTAGTATAGGACTGCTGATTATTTAGGTGGGCTTATTTTATATCCTACAATTTTGCTGATTGTTTGAAGTTGATTGTTTTAAGTAGCTTTTAGTTGATTCTCTAGGGTTCTCTAAGTATACCATTTTATTATCTGTATGGAGTGATAATTTTGTTTCCTCACTGCCTATTTTTATTCCTTCTATTCCTTTTACTTGTCTTATTGTTATGGCCAGCATTTATAGTACAATATAGTACAATAATAATGGTGATAGTGGACATCCTTGCTTCACTCTTGATCTTATAGAGAAAGCTTCAAGTTGATCCCCATTACAGACAGTGCTTGCTCTTGGTTTTAGATAGATGCTACTTACCATTTTAAGAAAGGTTCCATTGATTCCAATGTTTTCTAGTGTTTTTAATAGGAAGGGGCATTGTATTTTGTCAAAGCTCTCCCTGCATCTATTGATATAATCATATGATTTTTGTTATTATTATAGATATGATCAATTATGATGATAGTGGGGTTATGGGGTGTTCAGGGAAGAATAGCACCTTTGGTGTGAGGGCTTGCTCATCCACTTTTGGTATCCACTTGTCACCCAACTCTCACCTGTGTCTCCAAGAAGCTGTAGCATGTGCAATGGCCACTTCCTGGTAAAACTGTCTCAGAAGACAGGCTAAACCAGGTTGAGGGTTACTGACAGGCCTCAAACACATCAGCAACTTAAGGGGATGTCTACCTCAAGAATGTGAAGACTTCTCCCAGCAGAATGTGGTTTTTTTTGTTCCAAAAACCATGAAGGAGACTTTAAAGCAGGCACTCTGCAGTGCTCAGAGCTTGGTCACAGACTGGAGAGACCAAGTTCATCCAGTGTCTCCAAGTCCATCACCCGTCATCTTCATTTTTGTCTTGCCAGTGGACTCCGATGACTCCAAAAGACAGAGTGAAGCTGATGACTTCATGCAACTTTGCCTCACTTGAATCCAATTCACATTCAAGTCAAGATATCACCAATCATCCACTATTTCACTTTTTTATTATTTTACTATGTTTTAATTTTACTCTTTTACCTACCTTGAAGTCCTGTGGTGACGGGTGAGTGACAAAGTAGCAGGTGTGGATACACTGGGAACAGTAGTCACCACACTGCAGACAGGCATCATAGGGTCATTTTCTCAGTGGACTGAAGCAGCAAAGGGATTCAACAGCACCCTGGGTGTCTGAGCAATTTTTTGTAAGGACTGCATGGCTCATTTCCTGGCATGAAGAAGGGGCTAGAAAAGATGCCCTAAAAACTGTTTCACCCAACCCTAGCCTGCTTACCTCAGCAGGTGAAGATCCTACCCTGTAGCCAAAACACAAAAAGATGAACAATTTTTTTAATAATGAATTTATTTATTTTTGGTTTTCAGCATTCACTTCCGTAAGATTTTGAGTTTTAAATATTCTCCCCCTCTTCCCACCTTCCCAAGCCAGTGTGCTATCTGACATAGGCTCTACTTATGCATTCATATTAAGCATATTTTCACAGTAGTCATGATGTAAAGAAGAATTAGAACTAGTGGGAGGAACCAGGAGAAAGAAGAAACAAAACAAAACAACAAAAGAAAAGGAGAGCAAATAGTATGCTTCCATCTGCATTCAGACTCCAGAGATCTTTCTCTAGATAGCATTTCTCATGATGAGTCTTTTGGAGTTGTCTTAGATCCCTGCATCTCTGAGAAGAGCTAAGTCTATCAAAATCAGTCATTGCACACTGTGGTTGTTACTATGTACAATGTTCTTCTGGTTCTGCTCATTTCACTCAGCATCAGTTCATTCATATAAGTCTCTCAAGGCTTTTCTGAAGTCCGTCTGCTCATCATTTCTTATAGCACATGTTGTTCAGCCATTCCCCAATTGTTGGACATCCCCTCAATTTCAAAATTTTTGCCACCACAAAAAAGCTGCTATAAATATTTTTGTACATGTGGTTTTTTCCCCATTTTAATCTTTTTGGGATGCAGACCTAAAAGTGGTATTGCTAGGGCAAAGGGTATATACAGTTTAATAGCCCTTTGGCCCTAGTTCCAAATTGCTCTCCAGAATTGTTGAATCAGTTCACAACTCCACCAACAATGTATTAGTGTTCCAATTTTCCTACATCTTCTCCAACATTTATCATTTTCCTATTTTGTCATGTTAGCCAATCTGATGTGTGATGTGGTACCTCAAACTTGTTTAGATTTGCATTTCTGTAATCAATAGTGATTTGGAGCATTTTTAATGAACAAAAACTTTTGCAAAGATTATCATACTCACCATTGGTACACGAAATGTGCACGTGACAAACCCTGATGAGATCAAAGAAAATTCCATGAAGCCCTAGAGAACTCCCATCATAGATTTACCAAAAGAGGACAAGCTTGTAATTTGGGTGACTTTAAAGGCAGAGTAGGCTCAGGCTATCAGGCATGTCAAGGAGTCCTTGGGAGGAATCGAGTCAGAAACAGCAACAGCAACTTACTACTGTCTTGTGCATCTCATGATCGTCTCATCACCAATGCTGTCTTCTGTTTACCTAAGTGCAATAAAACTTTGTGGATGCATACTTGCAGCAAGCACTGGTTTTTAATAGACTATGTCATTGTAAGGGGAAGAGACAGGCAGGATGTAAGAGTGATAAAAGCAATGTGTGGCACAGAATACTGGACCAGTCATAGACTCATCCTCTCCAAGCTAAACATTTACATTCAGCAAAAGCATCAGCCCCAAGGCAAGACAACTGTAAAAAGACTCAATGTCAACAGATGACAGCATTTCTTCTTGAGTGAACAGTTCCTCCTTTTGGAAGAAAGCTGAGTCAGCATACAGTTAGCAACAATGGTATATAAAAAAGTGTGGAAAGTTTTCAGAGATTTTATGCACAGCACTGAATTTATTCATTTGAGCCAGAAAACTCACAAACGTCAGCATTGGTTTGACAAAAAAATGATGGGGAATTTCAGAAGCTATCCCTCCTGTCAATTCTGTTTTGCTTCTGACCACTGTCTTCTTTTATCTGCACTCCTTTTTATTACACACTCTTCCCCTTTCTCATATACTCTTTCCTTCCCACCTCCCTGTTGGGAAAGATAAATTTCTATTACCAGTTGAACAAATTAAGATGTGAGTGAAGTTCAAGACTGTGCCCCAACATTTTCCCCTCCAATGTGAGAACTCCTCCTTGTGTGCTTCTTTTATGTGAGATAATTTTCCCTATTCTCCTTCTCCCTTCCCCCTTTTCCAAGGGCATTTCTCTTTCTTGCCTATCCATTTTTTTACATAATCCCAACATAATCAACTTACTCTTACACCCTCTTTTCATATACAATCCTTTTAACTGCCCTAATAATGATAAAGTTCTTAGAAGCTATGTGTATCATCTTCCCACATAGAAAGGTAAACAGTTTAACCTTACTGAGTCCCTTGCTCTTTCCCGTTTATGTTTTTATGCTTCTCTTGAGTCTTGTAAGGGGCAGTTATGTGTCACAGTGGATAGAGTACTGAGCCTGAATTCAGGAAGACTCATCTTCCTGAGTTTAAATCTGGCCTTAGATACTAACTGTGGCCCACTTAACCCTGTTTGCCTCAGCTCTTTATCTATAAAATGAGATGGAGAAGGAAATGGCAAATGATTGGAGCATCCTGGTGTAGAAAATCACAGGTAGGGTCATGAAGAGTTGGACATGACTGAAACAACTAAACAACTACATCTAAAAATCAAAATTTCTATTTAGCTCCTGTCTTTTCATGATAAATGTTTGAAAGTCCTCTACTTCATTTTTTTCCCTGTAGTCATGACCTGGATGAATATATAGCAAAGGAGACTGAAAAGAAATGGTCAGATGGGTAAGAAAAGAACTGGGAGAGAGGTGTCATGAAAATCTAGAAAGGAGAGTATACCTAGCAGAAGAGAGTGACTAATGGTGTCAGAAGTGACAGAAAGGTCAAGAAGGATAAGGATTAATGAAAGATTATTAAATTCAAGGGTCAAAAAAATCATTGGTGACATTAGAGAGGAAAATTTAGTTGAATAATGAGACCAGAAGCCAAAATGTAGAGGATTTAAAATCAAATGAGAAAAGAGGAAGTCAAGGCAATGAGTGTAGATGATTTTCCCAAGGAATTTAGCCATGAAGAGGAGGAGAGATAGATGATGGTAGTTAGTGGGGAATCTGGATTGAGTGAACTTTTTTTTTAAATGACAGAGACATTAGTGTGTCTGTGGACATCAGGGAAACAACTAGTAGATAGAGACTAAGGATTAGTGAAAGAGTGAGGATGATAAAGGGAGAAATCTACTGAAATTGAAGATGGAATGGTATCAAGGGTAGACATAGAAGTATTTACCTTGGCAAGGAGAATGGCTCTCTCATTATGTGAAATAGAGGTAAAAGAGCTTTTGAGGAAACACAATTTAGTGATGTGAAATGAAGAAGAGAGGAAAAGAAGGCAGTATTGTTGAATGATTTCCAACCTGTTGGTGAAGTATGGGGCAAAGTCCTTAGTGAGGGGAGAGGAAGAGAAGGTGCTAGTGTGTCCGTTGAGAAGGGAATGAAAAGGTTTGAAATAGTGTCTATGGTAGTGGGTTAGAAAATTGATTAAGGAACTAATAGGATTGCCTTGTTTCTGTGAAGACCAGGTTGAGATTATATAACAAATTTATAGTAGACTAAGTATAGTTTCATGACTTTCTCCTTCATTTAGCAGCATACAAATAAGAGAAAATTTAGAAAACAGTGGGAGTAATCCAAGGTTGGAGTTTGACATGACATGATAGGACAAGTGGGGCAAGGGATTTAAGTGTAGAGAGTGGTACAGATTTGAACCAATTCATCAGATGAATCAAGATAAGAAAGGGAGGAGAATATAGCCAGTACAGCAGTGATTGCCTGGGAAAGAACTGCTGAGTGGAAAGATTGGAGGCCAAAGTCAGGACAAAGAATGGAGTTGGAGTATCTCTTACTATCTCTTCTTGCTATAGATTTTTGAATATATATTTATGAATATATAGGAATGCTGGCAATTCATGTGCGTTTGCCTTATATTCTGCTACTTTGCTAAAATTATTGTTTTAACTAACTTTTTAATTGAGGTTTGGGGATTTTCCACGTATATCATCATATTGTCTGCAAAAATAAAGAGTTTTATTACTTCATTCACTATTCTGATTCCTTCTATGTATTTTTCTTCTCATTACCATTGCTAGGATTTCCAAGATAATAGTGAATAATATTGAAGACAGTGGGCATTCTTGTTTCACACCTGATCTTAGTGGGAAGACTTTTATCTTATCCCCAGTATAAATAATGCTTGTTGATGGTTTTAATACATATATTTTATTTATAATAATATAAATGCTTTTTTATCAGTTTTAAGGAAAAATCCATTTGTGCCAATACTTACAAGTGTTTTTAATAAAAATAAATGTTGTACTTTATCAAAAGCTTTTTCTGTGTCTATTGATATAATCATATGATTTATAAATGAGCCATATGAGTTAGTTTTAACTTCAAAAAGTTTGTTTAACACAAAGCAACAGATATTCAAGTAGTTGGAAAAGTTTTAAATGTAATAATAAGCTTAACAGAGATTTATAAAAACCTCATTTCACAAATGAATTTTAATAAAACTGAAATATGTACAAGAAGTGCAATTTGGGCAACCACTAAGCAGTACCAGTGATGTAATGTTTTATTTTCTTGATTTGTTTTTTAGTTTTAAAACAATTAACAATTAGAAAAATAAATGTCAATTTCAAAGATATCATTCAAGTTCAGTACAATATTTCATGTATGAACTAAAATTTTCATTTGCCAAACAAAATTATACCTTGCAGTTCACACTTTAGTTTCACTGTTTAAAATTTTAACCACAAATAAAAACTCCACGTGGTCACACAGAATTACATAATTAAGGTAGCTCAAATTCCATTTCTTCATCATTACAATCACTGTGCTGTTACTTTTATTTTGAATCTACTATGTACAAACAAGAATATAAGGTGTTCCTTTAAGTTCTAATTCTCTGAAACAATGATTCACAGAAATGTATCATTATCAGTGAAATTAGAGAAAATATAGTCCCCAGACAGGTGAGAATTCTTGGGGTTTACTGTGTTATTCCTAACTTCTCAAAAGTCTTGCCTATACCCAACCCTACCTCAAAATACAACCAACCATGGTAGACTAGAAAAGAAGATTCTTAGACAATGAAATTTGTTATAAGAGTGAAAATTATTTTCTAGAAATTTTGAATCCAATATATTCACTTCATTATAGAGTGATTTGGCCTCTAAGAGTCCCCAATAGTACTATGTTTCTGTAATTCTGATGTATTTCATCTTTTCTTTTCTTCCCCTAAAACTTTGTGGCTCCATAACCATTTCATGGCATTCTTCACATCCTCATTCCTCAGGGTGTAGATAAGAGGATTCAGCATTGGAGTGATGGTGGTGTAGAACACAAAGACTGCCTTGTCCAGTGGGAAGGTAGTAGATGGGCGAAGGTAGATGAAGATGCATGGGACAAAAAAGAAGATCACTACTGTCAAGTGAGAGCCACAAGTAGAAAGAGCTCTCCGTCGGCTCTCTGCAGAGTGCTTCCTGAGGCTAAGCAGAATTACTGTGTAAGAAGCTAGTAAAATGAGGAAGCAGCCCAGGGAGATGAGACCACTATTGGCCACCACCAGCAAGTTCACCAAGGAGGTATCTGCACAGGCAAGTTTGAGGACAGGATGAACATCACAGAAGTAATGATCAATGACTTGAGCACTACAGAAGGGAAGCTGGAAAGTCAGAAGGGTCTGCACAAAGGAGTGCCCAAGGGCACCTGCCCAGGACAGTAAAGCCAGCAGAGCACAGGTATTGGCACTCATGATGGTGGTATAGCGTAGAGGCTGGCAGATGGCGGCATAGCGGTCAAATGCCATCACTGTCAGGACAAAAATCTCACCACAGCCAAAAAAGTGGAAGGTAAACATTTGGGTAACACAGCCCCAGTAGGAGATGGTCTTGCGCTCTGAGATCAAGTCTGCAATCATTTTGGGAGCTGTGGCTGACGAGTAGGCAATGTCCACAAAGGAGAGGTTACTTAAGAAAAAATACATTGGAGTGTGGAGCTTAGACTCAAAGCATACTGTGAGTAGGATGAGCAGGTTTCCCACTATAATCACAGCATAGAAGAGGAAGAACAGGACGAAGAACATCAACTGCATCTTAGGATCCTGGGACAGACCCAGGAACACAAACTCAGTAATGTTGTTGGCTACTTCCATGGAAGCCAGGTGGGAAAATCTTGGTTCCCTGCAGAGATTCATAAATGTCACAGACAACAATGAGTATTGTTGGAGACAACCTCAAAGTAGACCACACATCCTAATATAAATCCCTAAGTAATGCTGAAAATTGCATGGAGGTTGGAGAAATCACAGATTCAGAGCAGTGTAAGGACCCAATCTTATTAGCTTCTTAAAAATTAAAGCTGTCTAAAAAGGAAAAGGGGCTACTTTGGGAGGTATTGGGTCCCCCTTCAATGGAGATCTTCTTTCCTGGGGCTTATCTATTATATTCCATATTGATGCAATTTATTGGAAAAATGGATGAAGTGATAGGCTTGGAGTCAGGAAGACCTGAGTCCAAATCCTGCCTCAGACATTTACTACGTGATGCTAGGTACCTCTGTTAGCATGTTTCCTCCTACGTAAGATAGGGATAATAATAGCACCTGTTTCATAGGGTTGTCATGAGGGTCAAATGAGATAATACATGTAAAACAATCTGTGAACCTTAAAATGCTATATAAAGGCTCATTATTATTATAAACCTTGGCCATTCATCTAAAATTTTAAAGATCTTTCAAAATTCTAATTGGAGAGAGAAAGAGAAAGAGACAGAGAGAGAGAGAGAGAGAGAGAGAGAGAGAGAGAGAGAGAGAGAGAGAGAGAGAGAGAGAGAGAGATTTGGGGAAGTACTGAATGAAAACTAGCAGTCAACAATATTCAGTCTAAAGGTTCTAGACTTGGTGGTTAGTGGAATCAGGGAGAAGGAAGAGAAGGGGGAAAGGGAAAAAATATTTATTAAGGACCTAGTATGTGCCAGCTAATCTGCCTGATACATAGCAGGAATTAAGCACACTACAAATATCTCATTTAATGTTCACAACAACCCTACGAATTAAGTGCTGTTGTTATCCCCTTTTGATAGTTGAAGAAACTGAGGGAGATAGAACTTTAATGACTTGCCCAGAGTCACATAGCTAGTAAGTATCTGAGGCCAAACTCAAACTCAGGTCTTCCTTACTCCTGGCCCAGCTCTCTCTATCCACTGGAGTTCACTCACCAAATGAGAACCCAGTTTTCCTACTTTTGAATAAGATATAAGGCTTATAAAGTTAAAGCTAGGAGGGACCCCAGAAGCCATCTAGTCCAACCCCTCCATTTTACAATTGAGGAAACTGAGACCCAAGTAGGTTTAGAGAGTTGTCCAAGGTCACAGAGGTTGTCTTCATTAGAGACAGGGTTTGAACCCATGTTCTTTGACTACTGGGACAGTGTTCTTTTCACCAAACCAGATTGAGAATGGCAATAAATTTAAAAGTATAAAATGCATCTCACACACACAAAAGATGAATTCTTTTGCATATATATATATATATATATATAGTTAAGAATAATATTTTTAAATGTCACAACAAACCTCAAGAATTAATTTAAAAGTGTCAGCTAGGTGGTTCAGTGGATAGAGCACCAGACCTGGAATCAGGAGGACTTGAGTTCAAATCCAGCCTCTGACACTAACTAGCTATTTGATCCTGGGCAAGTCATTTAACTCCTATTGCCTCAAAATAAGTAAATAAATAAATTTAAAAGAGGTGATGAGGTGCCAGCCAAACAAGATAAATTGGCAGAATTTGGAAAACCAGTGATCCTGATTTAGAGTAACCATAAAGAGCAGAGATACAATCCCATGTTATATATGGAGATAAAGGCTCAACATTCACAAGCGTAAGGAATCCCTGGGGCCCCAAAAGAGAAAAATAGAAGTATGAAAAGGAAACAAAAAATATGAAGAAAGGGACAACTCTTTCTTCACTAAGTAAACTCTAGTCCTTGGAAAGGATAGAAAAATAATGGCTAGAAGAATAAGGTTCAATCAACACATCAATCCACCTTTATGTATGTTTGACATTTCATTAAAATTAGTCAGTTTGAATGGTGCTCAGAACTCCCTCTCCCCTTAGCAAAGCAGAAAGTACTGAAGTTGCTAAAATTTGGGTTAAGAACTCATATATCCAAAAAAAATTTTTAAAAAATTTTTTTAAATTCATATATCCCAGAAATAATTTCCAAACACCAAAGTCTCTTTTAACACTCCCTGCTCATTGTACTGGGAGCTTTTGAAGCAAAGACATTCTTTTTTCCCCTTGATATCACCTAGATCTCAATATGACCATTCCAGCTCTCAAACTCATTACCCAAATCTGGCTCAATGCCACCACCTTTTTACTTGTATGATCTGTTAAAAGGGAACCTCCTGGTTGACAGTAGTCTGTTGAGAGAAAAATGTTGTCAAACTGCCTTTTATACTCCAGAGTCTAATTAGCAAGCCTACCACCTGCTACTGACCTTCCTGTTCTTGCCATTTTGGTGATGAAGAAACTGAGGTAGAGTTAGAGATTAGCAAGAAGTGCTTTGCATAGAATTTCTTCAAATATAATATAGGGATAATAACAGCATCTATTTTACAGGATTGTTGTGAGGATCAAATGAAATAATATTTGTAAAGCAAATAGTGCCTAAGAACTATGGGTTCTATTTGACTGAATTTGTATAATGATAATCTAAGGTACCAATAAAATGTCAAAAATGCTAAGAAGGCCAAAACTACAGGCATTAGAACTGTCCCATTAACATAATATGAAAGGAATGTGTGTATAATCTTACATGAACTACATCCATAATACTTTTCATGTTTGTCAATATTCCTGACATAGCCCTTAGCCTTTCCTTCTTTTTAAGATGTTAGATTTGCCAAGGCCAAAAAGGCCAAAGGTATAGTGACATGATTGTCCCATTAATACTCATGTGAAAGGGACAGTACCTTACAGAAGTATGATGTGAGGCTGGCTGCTACTGCTCTTGGACATTGCTCTAGTCTGCTCCCCCACCATCACAGTGAGACTGACCTTTCCTGCCATGCTGTTAAGCTGTTTCCCTGCTTCTTGATCAATTTTAGGGTGGTTTTATAGTTGATTGGAGGGAAATTTGGGAGGGTTTCAGAGGATTCCTTCCTCACTCCACCATCCTGACACTGAAAGTCCTAATGTCTTTCTTATAGCAACATTCTTTATTGAGTTAAAGCAGAAAAGCTCAGCATGTTCATTCATTCATTCAACAAATGCCTATTAGCTGCTTGTTATGTACCCAACACCATTCTAGACTCTACAAGTGCAATGACAAAAATAAAATAAACCTTTATATATGTATATGTTCTACTGGTGATGGGGTAACAATATGTAAATGAGTAAATATGAGATAATTTGAGGAGGCAAGTAGCCCAGCAATTAGAGATCAGGAAAGGCTTCTTCTAGGCGGCATCATATAAACTAAATTTCCTTTAAGGAAATTAAGGATTCTTAGAAGTAGAAATAAGGGAGTATGTTCTAGGCAGGGAAAATATCCTTTAGCCTGGTATGGAAGTGGACAATAGAGTTAAAAGGTTTTGGGACAACAAATAAGCAATTTTAGTTCCACCCTACCTTTACACCTTATCATTCGGCACTCTGAGGTTCAGCCAGATTGTCTTTCTTTCTCTTCCTCACTTGACACACTATTTACCAACACAGGCTCTACTTCATGCCTCAAGTGTACTTCTCTCTTGCTTTTGCTTCTTCGGAATCCCTGATTTCCTTTGAGGCTCAACACAAGGACCTTCTCCACATGAAACCTGGTGCCTTTTTTCTTCCCCAAACCTCATCCCCACATTACCTCAGATTTGTTTTGAGTATATGTTCCTGATGGAGTGTAAGTTAATTGAAGTCAAGAATGGCATTATTTCTGTTCTTTTAAGTATCTTTTAACAAGTACCTGGCACACAGTAGATGTTTAATAATTGCTTGTAGATTGATTTCTTGAATGTAGAGTGCATTAAGGAGAATAACATGAAATTAATCTAGAAAGGTAGACTAGAGCCGCATTATAAAGGGCTTTAGAAGTCAAAATAAGAAATTGTATTTTATTGTGACACTGGCAGCCCACATAGACTCCTTAAGTATGCGGCTTGAATGCTTTAAGCATACAAAAAGACAGAAACTGTCACTATTTTAAATAGCAATTGAGTTTAATTACCTAAGTACAATATTGTGAAGGCTCATCAAATAGGACCCTACTTAAAACTTAAGGCAAAGGCCTTACTTTACCTACCTCTGGTATATGCGTAAGCTAGTTCTTTCCTAGGAGCCTTAGTATCTCTTCTGACCACTGGAGGGTGCTCAGCCTTCACACACCTAAGCAGCTCCACCACCACCAATGCAAAGAGGAGGCTAGCACACTAAACAGCTGTGTTTAACCCTTTCCCAAATGGCTGGTTCTCAGTTTACTCTAGGGGATGAAATGGATTATATGTCAGACTATTAAATCTTCTCTCTAGATCTAGCTCAGAGCCCCCCATCTGAGGAAATAATGCACTTTCAGGTCATTTCCCAATGCATTAATAAATTCAAACTTGTAAGCCTATGGTGATCGCATAGGTTTTAATAACATGGAAATAAATGCCAAAGAAACACCTAAACTCACTTCATCAGGCCTCTGAGGAGCTTTGAGAATAGAAAGCATGCATACCTATGGCTCAAAACAAGAGGTTAGAAAAAGTTCTATTTCTGCATTGTCTGGGGTTCCTTGACTTAAAAGTGATAAGTGGAAAGTCAGACAGTCTCCCTCCGACTTGTCCAAACTTGTTATATGTGGATCTAATAAGTAGGAGCTTTTGAAAAAAAATACTCTTTCCATGATCTCTCAACAGTGAAGATCAAGCATCATGTGCCAAATACAGAAAGGGACAAATTAGAAAAACAAATTGCTTTCTAATGGCTTTTTTCTTATTTGATTCCATTAATCACTCTAGAAGCCTATTAAGAGAATTTACAGTGATGGCAGAGACTCTAAATCATTGGATTCAGTTCCTTGTTTCCAAGGAGGTAGTTAGCATTTGTGATGTTTAAAAAGTTCAAGAGGGAAGACTTCTGGGAGCCAAGGTGACAGAGTAAGCAGCAAATTGCCATAAATTTCCATATTTCTAGAAATCTT